ATCACCTATCCCTGCTGCTTTGATACTCGTGGCATTCGGGCTTCCATTCATAGCAATTTGTTGCATTATCCATGGATAGTGCCTAGGAAAGGAAGTTAGACTGGAAGATAAACAGTTGAAGCAAAACTCTAATAGGCACTCTATCAATGAAGACTTTGCACTACTTTGGTGGAGGAAGCATCTCATTTCAACATGCCCTCATCTCTTGTGATGCTTTGCATGAAATAATTTGTAGTTTATCCACTCCATAGCATGCCTAATTGGGTGCAACAACTCTGATTAGGGAATTTAGGGACTTCATTATCATTATTCATACTAGGGGTGAAGGCAGCTGGTTTGTCAAGAAGTCTATGGAGTGGAGTATGCATCAAAGCAAGTTTTTTCAGGGGAATTCTACACTTCATAGCTTGATACTCTCAAATGAGATAGGTTTTCTGTCGGAGGTTTAGATTTATCACCAATATATGACTTTTCTCATATTTACTTCTTCATGGTATGACTCTTCTTCCATGATACAAAATTCTACACCTGAAGCTACAGCTGCTAATGGTGGTGATGCAGAAAGATCATGGCAACAAAATATCCCTCAGTCATATTCCTCATTTCCTCTGGACCCAATTGAACAATCTCAATGTATTTTGGGTGAGTTGTTAAGACATTCTTTGCTTTGACATTTTTTGGATGAAGCATCTTTGCTGCTTAGCTAGAATAAGCCTGGGAGGGTACTATGAGGGGTGGGTCAACTAAGCTTTTCTGTTTATCTAGAGAGTTTAAGGCACATTAGCCATGATGTATAATGGTAAGACACCTTTTCCATATGCCCTCATTAGCTGGTAAAATGAATAAGGCATTTTTATACCGGCTTGGCTTGGCTTGGCATATGAGAGCAACTTATGTATTTAATATGGAAGTTCTAACAATTTTCTATCTTTGGATTTTGCTTTCCTTTGTCACTTGTAGGCCTCTGAAAGTTCTGGAAAGAAGGTTTTACAATGAGTAAGTAATAGTATATCCTATCCTACTGTTCATAATAATGAAATATCTACCTTCAGTGGGCATTATTCAATTACCATGTGATGATATGTTCTCTGTCTAATCTCTGGTCAATGACCTTGCTGGCTTGGGTAGCTTGAATTTGCATGAAGTGACACAGCATTTGTTGCTAAGGTGCTTCATGAGTGGCCTCCTCCAAAACAGTTTTGAAGGGGCCAGAACAAAGATTGCTTTTAAAAAAAGTGAAAATGTGCCATGTGGTTGTGGGTATGTTATCTCCTGGAACTCTTTAATAAATTTGGCTTGGCTAGAACTTGTTCAAAAGAGTAAAGTTATGCCTTCGATTGGACTGACATGTGGGACATATAGGGTAAGCATCCCAGTTTCTAGCTAGTCTCTAATTGTTGACCATTGAGGCTTAAATCCAGCATGATTAGTTAATCTGGCTCTTTTCAAACATTTTATCAACATCTTCCCATTCGAGGATCTATTACTAGTGTTTCCTGGTGTGCACACAGGGTGTCCACTTTTTATGGGAGTCATATCTGTGTGGCCAAAAACTGGGGTGTTTACCCTATTCATTGTTTTTACTTTTTCTTGAGTTTCCTTTTCTCAGTCATCTGAAATATTGCTTTTCATTTTCTTTCAACAAGGGATTGTGAACTATAACTTCCAACTGCTGATGTTTTTCCAGAAGCAGTTTTGCAAGCTTTCAAGAATGCAACATAACACAAAGTTTAGGGAGATGTAAAAACCTGGTTAAGAAATGCCCCTGCTAAGAATATAGGATATTCTTGAAGCAGACATCCATCAATTTGGTATTTGCCTTAGGCAAATATTTAATTGATGGAAGTCTGGGAAGGATTAGGGGTTCATTGTCTGGACATAATGTTCAGACCATGAAGCTCTAATTAGTATGAGGGACCAGTTGCCGATTTTGCTAACTGGGTAAACCTTAGGCAAATATTTAATTGATGGAAGTCTGGGAAGGATTAGGGGTTCATTGTCTGGACATAATGTTCAGACCATGAAGCTCTAATTAGTATGAGGGACCAGTTGCCGATTTTGCTAAATGGGTAATCACTGGGTAACCACCTCAGAAGCAGTCAGTGATCATCCCTGGGTATACCTGCCCCGGGGCATGCTATGTCTTTTGTATTTTCTGTTGGTAAATGAAATTTTTTAATTCACAAAAATGAATAAGAACTGTAGATTTGTGTTCTCGAACTAAAACAGCAGATGAGGAAACAAAGTTACAGTATTTTTAAATGTACATCCTCACCTGAACCATCTCATTATATTGGCTCGGACATCAAATAAGTAATTTCTAAACAATCATTAGGAGATATAGTATGTCAAATGGTTGCAAATCTAATTTTTTTTCGCTCGACTCATTGATGTATATGAATGTTCTCACCATAAGCACATATGAGTAAGTTGTTTTTACCACCGATATAGATGCTCAGAATCATATATTAGTTTCTTGGCAGACTCGTAAGATTGTGCATTCGTGCCTGTGCCATCCACAAAACCAGGGGTGTGTAGAAAATGAAAACAGTGTAGCCCAGTTAAAACTCTTGTATGCCTTGCAAGAAACAGGAAATGCACTTTTGACCCTAATCCTGCACAGGGTGCAATTAATTATTTATAGTCTAAATATTAGTAAATACTATTAACAGCCTCTCTCTTTGCACTGGTTTATGTGTAATAGCAAAGTTTTCATGTTATTTGGAGACCATCAACACCTACCTTTTCATGCACACAGGAAGGAGATGACATGGGACTTGTTGCAGCACCATCCAGCTTTCATGACCAAGATGCATACCCTACTGAATGCATATTATCACTTAGTCTTCACCCACTGCAACTTGCAGAAAATTGACTAACTTTGACCAACTGAGAAGTGATCACTTCCTATTTATTCTTCCCTTTCACTTCCTTCCTCTTTCACTTCCCTACCAGTCTAACTTTTACTTCTCATATTTTCTGTACTGAGGGTGAGAACATAACCATCCCACCTACCCCATGAGTTCATGAATTGTGCATGAAGTGACCTGCAGAACTTCCTTCCTCTTTCACTTCCCTACCAATCTAACTTTTACTTCTCATATTTTCTGTACTGAGGGTGAGAACATAACCATCCCACCTACCCCATGAGTTCATGAATTGTGCATGAAGTGACCTGCAGCTAGATAAACATTTGGCCAAAAAACATAACAGGTATTACTCAGTTTGTGATAGACTTTTCTAGCAGGTGGATTGCCATGCAGGAAACGCCACTGGTTCCAATTAGGAATTTGGTGATAGGCATATTTTGACTGGAACAGCAGAAATCTGGCAGAATATAGCATGGAATTCCAGCTGGATCTGGTTAGTTCATTCAAACTATAAACAGCATACCAATTTACAATTAGTCTGGTAGGATATACTGCAGTTCTTGCTGGAAGTGGCTCTTATTTATGGATGGAAAGCTTGCTCATTCTAACTGGAACTTCCTGCTGGAAAGGTCAGACCATGGGCTTTTACCCACTCTTCAAACCAGGTTTTCAGGAGAATGTTCAAACTCTTTTATACAATGTTGATGAACTCATTCTTAAGTGCCTGATTCAGCTATTCTTGCTCCATCTAGGTGCAAGAGTGTCTGTCAAGATCCCAGATACAGAAGAAGGGGTAGTCATAGCTAAGAATATGAGGAGGGGTGATTGAGTTACTAAGCCTGGCCTATACAAAATTAAATGCTCAACTTGACAGGTAAAGACCAAAATGATAAGGGGGACCTCATTGAGCATTGGGGCTTGGATGTCGCTGTCAGCGAAAAATATGCAGATTGAGTGCAACAAGAACATGGAAATTGCAATAAAATATTGTAAAGAAATTATTACGATGAGGTAATTCTAATTGGTTCTTCTCATACACATACATTCTGCTATGCCATATTTAAGCTCTCTACTCATAACCAATTTGGTATGCTTCTGTTTCTTCATGGATGAAATTACAATGAGTCCGTAGCAAAAATTGCTGAAAAGCAATTGGTTGCCTGGAGATCCTTTTTATCTAGTGGAGAGATCAGTATCTGACAGCCACCGATCCATTCATAAATCCATCTGAAGAATTAATCATTCAAGACATTCCACCTCAGTGCCTGAGATACGCCAGTCGCATCTCTAATGGCCGAATATGTTTATATTTTGATTCAGAGATCACTGCGTCCACTCTCATTGCATCCGGTTTCTCCGTAAATGATAAGTGCCTGATTCAGCTATTCTTGCTCCATCTAGGTGCAAGAGTGTCTGTCAAGATCCCAGATACAGAAGAAGGGGTAGTCATAGCTAAGAATATGAGGAGGGGTGATTGAGTTACTAAGCCTGGCATATACAAAATTAAATGCTCAACTTGACAGGTAAAGACCAAAATGATAAGGGGGACCTCATTGAGCATTGGGGCTTGGATGTTGCTGTCAGCGAAAAATATGCAGATTGAGTGCAACAAGAACATGGAAATTGCAATAAAATATTGTAAAGAAATTATTACGATGGGGTAATTCTAATTGGTTCTTCTCATACACATACATTCTGCTATGCCATATTTAAGCTCTCTACTCATAACCAATTTGGTATGCTTCTGTTTCTTCATGGATGAAATTACAATGAGTCTGTAGCAAAAATTGCTGAAAAGCAATTGGTTGCCTGGAGATCCTTTTTATCTAGTGGAGAGATCAGTATCTGACAGCCACCGATCCATTCATAAATCCATCTGAAGAATTAATCGGGCCAGTCGCTTAAGGCGTTGGTTAAGCAGGAAGGCCTCTACGCTTTTGTGCTGCTGTGGACAGCAGGGAGAGGAAAACCCTCGTTTTCTTGGCGAGCTGATCTCGAAGGGAAGAAGAACAAGGGCATGATCTGCCCTTGTTTTACTTCCCTTCCCTGATTATGACAAATTTTGAAATGAAGATAACAGGGAGCAGAATTGATTAAATATTTTTGGATCATGTTGGATCTCCTGCAAAAATGAAAGGGTGGCTCAGAAAGTGGTTCATTTTCCAGCCACATCTCAGAGTGAATCCCTGCTGGGATGCTCCACCTTTGAAGGCGAGCATGTGTCCTCCCCTCTGGTGGTGGCGCTGCACCTCCTCCCTGGTTCTCAGTCCGTCCCTTGTGAGTCCTCTCACTCTGTTTCATTTTATTTACAGACTTTTTTTCCCCAAAACTTCCATAGTCAAGAATTCTGCAAAGCTCTCGGCACCCAAAGGCTCGATTCATTGTTGCTTCCTTTTAAATTGCCGTCTTCCCGTTTGGCAGTTTTTAGTATTCAATGCATCCATGACTGAGTTAGCCAAATTTTCATGTTTCATTGTAGCAGACGACTAGATGAACCAGTGGCTGATGGCTAGTTACGTGCAGCATCTTGCTCGGTAGCACTAGGCCCGGGGAAAAATTAAACAGGAGGCTCCTTGAGGCCCTTTGGAGGGCCCCTTAATACACGACGCTGGGACAGAAGGTCAGATTGCCCCCGATGGTCCCCCCCACCCCTCCCCTCCCTCCTGGGTGGGTCTGGGTTGCCAATTTGAATCGGTTGGCCTTAGTGTTGACTGTTTCTTGAATACATATTGAACACACATACATACACACACACACACATACATGTGCATATGTGTGTTCATGGAGCACCCTGCCAGCATGGTTTCTTGCTGTTGCCTCAGTCTGCGTCTCGATTCCAGTCTTTTTCCCTTAGATTCGTGCATAGGCAATCTTGAATTGTGATGGCTGGATGACCCAGAAGGCGACCGATACGTCTTCTACACGATTGATTTCTGCCTTCTCCATGTGAAGCTCCGTCGCGAAGGTCATCCAGAAGAATCACCGCATCCTCCTCGCTGCCGTTTTCAAGCTGATGTCCACCGATGGCTTGTTCCTCCCTCTGGAGTACAGGGTCGCGCTAATGTTCAGCCCCACGCATCTCATCCCTCCGCCCTACCCCAACATGTGGGTCATACCTCTCTGTCGGTTTCGATTTGAAGACAAAACGTGTCACAATTCTAAGAGATTGTAAGGGAAAGTGGGAAATGTTGAGATTGCGAAGAGCACGTTGAGACGGTCAAGTTTGCGATGAACCAGCAGTCACGGCTGTGTCTCTTCCATATCAGCATCATGGGGGATCAAGTGCTGATGAGAACGACGTATTGTTTGATGTGTTCTCATTTATTAGTAAATTCATAACCTTGCTGGATTTATTTTCTAAAGATCATTGTTAGGTTTTCTAGTGATTGCAGTTGTATTGCTTAAGAAAAAAATTTGAATCAATTTTTCTTCTTGGAATTACCGGTAAAATCCTGAATGATTGGCGTTCCCCTGAAGCATCTCTTTGTGCTACCTAATGACCTAGCAAACTCAAGCAACATGGCACCTTCCTTGTGCTCTCTGGTCAGGACGGAGTAAGAAGTAATGAACTATAGCAAGTATCTAAATAAATAATTTAAATAATAATTTGGCATTTGTTATTTATGGATGCATTTTAGCTGCCAAGATGGTTTCATAATATAATTTTATTTCAGTCGTCACCTTCATGATGACCTCAAATCTAGACTTTTACTTTGCAGTTTTGAACAACACCATTATTGCTTTTCATGTAAAAAAAAAATTTCTTAACTATCATTCCCCTGCAAACATACCAGAAACAATAAAGATGGGAGTGGTTGTGCAAAGAAACTGATTAATCAAATGTGGTAAGTACCATTCATATTCTGCTTTTTTTCTGTTTTCGAGATATTTTGCAATTTTTTAAATGATGTTTTGCAAAGTTCATTTTTCCATGTTTTCTATGAAATACTGTTTATAGGCTTTCTGGTATTTTTGTCTGAATTTGTGAACATTTCTGTTTTTCCTTGAAAGTGACATGAAGGCCCATTTGACTCATGATGAAATTTCTTCTTGCTTTGTAACTCTGATAGTCATTTGGAATATTTGCATGTTTTCAGGGAGAAGAAGTTGATGCATTCTCTGCTGAACCATCTACTACTCCTCCTTCCTGATTCAGCCACCCTGGCAGGAACTGAGGACACCATGTTTAGCTGCAAGCCACTTCTACCTATCTCTAGTATGTGCCTCCTTGTTCTTCATGAGCATACAATGGCATATTGTCCATCAGCATTGAGTATTATTCCATCCAAAAGCCAACTGATGCTGTCACCCTGCAGTACTACACCAAATCACTAACACCGTTTGCTGTTTCTGCCATTGTGTGGCCACATTGGCACAGATGTATCTGTCATTTCCTCAGCAGCAACAGATGTTGAGGTGGAACTGGAAATTTTTGAACCTAGCAAGGTGCAGCATGCATGGAACATGAGTATGGAACAACACACCTGACAATTGCACAATTGAGACAAATGAGTCTGAAGGCACCATGCAATTCCTGGGCCATTGGATAGGATAAAATGGACCTGTGGAAGACCCACCACAATATCCAGATTGAACACCCCCAGATTTCCTCTTATGAGGTGTCCTGAAGGACAAGGTGGTATGCCACACAACTGGTGACCCTCCAGCAACTCCAACTGAGCATCATTAACCCTTTCCATGGCAAATTAATATGGGAGTGGTCTGAGATGTTCTGAAATCAAGCCAAAACTTACTTGTTACTGAGACTCTTTGCTATATCCAAGACTTGTAAATGGTGATGCTACCATGGAAAGGGTTAATGCTTTCTATGCCATTCCAGCTGAAACATGTGCTAATGCATGTTGCACAGTTCTTCACCAATGCAGTGCTTGCCTGACTCCTAATGGTGGACATTTTGAACACCTATGCTAGTGTACGGTATAAATCATCAGTTGGCTTTCTGATCAAACAAGACTCAATGCTGATGGACCACATGTCACTGTATGCTAGACTATTGAAGCATGTCTTTCAGGGACACCCTGTATATATGATGAGAAGTGAGGGACTTAAAGCTTGAGTTTTTAGTTTTTAAAGAGTTTTTTTTTGTGTATAGAAGGGGAATCAAGCGAGGAGCTATAGCAGGTGCTGTGAGTCTCAGCAATCAAGATTTCTTTAATACAAATTAGATTTGCAGTTATAGGTTCATCCATTTTTTAAATGCTATTCATGCAGAAGTAGTGGCATTAGTCTTGTGGAGGTTTTCCAACATGTGGGAGGACATCATGCTGGATGTGTTTTTTTTTTGTAGCATAGGGTGAGGTGTTTAGTACCTGGTGAAGTTAGGAATTCTCATTGAGGAATTTGTGAAGTAGTCTTGAAAGGATCCAAACATGGGGTGAAAGATGCAGAGAGAAATGCCGAAATGGATTTGCATGCATCTCGACAGGCATGTTGTTAGGGGGTACTTCATATCATTATGGGGTTTGTGCGTTTGCAGGCAGTACCTTAGGCAAATATTTAATTGATGGAAGTCTGGGAAGGATTAGGGGTTCATTGTCTGGACATAATGTTCAGACCATGAAGCTCTAATTAGTATGAGGGACCAGTTGCCGATTTTGCTAACTGGGTAACCACCTCAGAAGCAGTCAGTGATCATCCCTGGGTATACCTGCCCTGGGGCATGCTATGTTTTTTGTATTTTCTGTTGGTAAATGACATTTTTTAATTCACAAAAATGAATAAGAGCTGTAGATTTGTGTTCTCGAACTAAAACAGCAGATGAGGAAACAAAGTTACAGTATTTTTAAATGTACATTCTCTCCTGAACCATCTCATTATATTGGCTCAGACATCAAATAAGTAATTTCTAAACAATCATAAGGAGATATAGTATGTCAAATGGCTGCAAATCTAATTTTTTTCGCTTGACTCATTGATGTATATGAATGTTCTCACCATAAGCAAATATGAGTAAGTTGTTTTTACCACCAATATAGATGCTCAGAATCATATAGTAGTTTCTTGGCAGACTCGTAAGATTGTGCATTCATGCTTGTGCCATCCACAAAACCAGGGGTGTGTAGAAAATGAAAACAGTGAAGCCCAGTGAAAACTCTTGTATGCCTTGCAAGAAACAGGAAATGCACTTTTAGCCCTAATCCTGCACAGGGTGCAATTAATTATTTATAGTCTAAATATTAGTAAATACTATTAACAGCCTCTCTCTTTGCACTGGTTTATGTGTAATAGCAAAGTTTTCATGTTCTTTGGAGACCATCAGCACCTACCTTTTCATGCACACAGGAAGGAGATGACATGGGACTTGTTGCAGCACCATTCAGCTTTCATGACCAAGATGCATACCCTACTGAATGCATATTATCACTTAGTCTTCACCCACTGCATTTTGCAGAAGATGGACTAACTTCGACCAACTGAGAAGTGATCACTTCCTATTTATTCTTCCCTTTCACTTCCTTCCTCTTTCACTTCCCTACCAATCTAACTTTTACTTCTCATATTTTCTGTACTGAGGGTGAGAACATAACCATCCCACCTACCCCATGAGTTCATGAATTGTGCATGAAGTGACCTGCAGGGAGAAGAAATTGATGCATTCTCTGCTGAACCATCTAACTCCTCCTTCCTGATTCAGCCACCCTGGCAGGAACTGAGGTCACCATGTTTAGCTGCAAGCCACTTCTGCCTATCTCTAGTATGTGCCTCCTTGTTCTTCATGAGCATACAATGGCATATTGTCCATCATTTTGAGCATTATTCCATCCAAAAGCCAACTGATGCTGTCACCATGCTTCACCCTACTTCACCAAATCACTAACACCGTTTGCTGTTTCTGCCATTGTGTGGCCACATTGGCACAGATGTATCTGTCATTTCACCAGCAGCAACAGATGTTGAGGTGGAACTGGAAATTTTTGAACCTAGCAAGGTGCAGCATGCATGGAACATGAGTATGGAACAACACACCTGACACACCTAACAATTGCACAATTGAGAGACAAATGAGACTGAAGGCACCATGCAATTCCTGGGCATTGGATAGGATAAAATGGACCTGTGGAAGACCCACCACAATATCCAGATTGAACACCCCCAGATTTCCTCTTATGGGGTGTCCTGAAGGACAAGGTGGTACACCACACAACTGGTGACCCTCCAGCAACTCCAACTGAGCATCATTAACCCTTTCCATGGCAAATTAATATGGGAGTGGTCAGAGATGTTCTGAACTCAAGCCAAAACTTACTTGTAACTGAGGCTCTTTGCTATATCCAAGACTTGTAAATGGTGATGCTACCATGGAAAGGGTTAATGCTTTCTATGCCATTCTAGCTGAAACATGTGCTAATGCATGTTGCACAGTTCTTCACCAATGCAGTGCTTGCCTTACTCCTAATGGTGGACATTTTGAACACCTATGCTAGTGTACAGTATAAATCATCAGTTGGCTTTCTGATCAAACAAGACTCAATGCTGATGGACCACATGTCACTGTATGCTAGACTATTGAAGCATGTCTTTCAGGGACACCCTGTATATATGATGAAAAGTGAGGGACTTAAAGCTTGAGTTTTTAGTGTTTAAAAAGTATTCTTTTTTTATGCATAGAAGGGGAATCAAGCGAGGAGCTATAGCACCTGGCATGCCAAGTATACCTCCTGGCCATGCAGACCCTCCCAGCCTTTGTGAGGTCATGGTATTCAGAATTGGACAAGAGCCTGGCTCCCTCTGTTGATTAATTCAGAGCTAAATATGTGAGCCCCCATCCTTTGCGAGGATGAGATCCAGGCTGTGCAAGGAGCTGAAAAAGCTTTGTCAACATGACTATAAGTCATGTAAGTCTTCACCATCATATGACATCAGAAACAACAAAATAGGATTGAATGGAATAAAATAAAAACCAGGATTCCAAATATGTTTAAAAATTTTTATAGCTCCAATAGTTTAGGCCTGTGGAAAGGGGGGGGGGTTTGGGGGCTATCTATCATGTGACTTCTAACATGGATTGTTGTACAACCAGTGTCATCAAAATTCGCAGGAAACAATCCTCTAAATTGCTGATCTAAACTTCTTCACACAGGTGCATGCGATGAAAATATTGGTGTCCTTGATGGTAGGCAACTAGTTTGTGAATGGGTTTCAGCATCTTTTTTGGTGTCTTGTCTGGTCTTCTGCATGGAGCACAGAAGATGTTGGGCTGTAACTGAGGAGGGTATTTTGCATGGAGCCCATGAGTGTGGCATCACCGTGAATGAATCTGAGACATTGGTGATACTCGCCCCAGAACATCCCGCAGCAATACATGATATAAATGCATGGCGGAAGTTTGTCTCTGCTCTAGTCTTGGAATTTTCCAGGACACATTATTAGCTCTGTATGCTTCTGGAGTTTAGTGTGTGGGTGGGCACGCTTGTCTGATTGCAGTGTGCCACTTCTGTACTCAGAAGCCATGATGTTCCCCTGGATATTCTGGAGGAGTCTTGGTGATGGAACTCCTGTGGGTGTGTGTTCAGAAGTGGTGCTTTCAATAGGGTGGCTGGCTTTGGAAACCTGAGGGACCATCTGGAAATTCACATTTGGGATGGGTCGATCTTGAACAGCTGTGACACTCATTATGTTCAGTTTGCATTTGATTGCCTCTTAAATTTGGATCTTAGATCCTGCCACTCTAGCATTGTGTTGGCCCGTGGTCTGGAGCAACTTACAGAGAGAAACAGAGATTCCTTCTGCATACCTTGATAATGTCTTCCCCTTTGAAGAGGTAGATGCTCGTCGATGTGTTCACGAAATGGCGGCTCTCCTACGTCGTGGACCTTGGGGCTACTTTTTTATGTTCACTTGCAATGACAAGGAGACTTTCAGAGTGGCTCCTCTTCATACTGCATTGGAGGAATTCTGTGGTGGCGATATGGAGCTATTCAATGTAGAACTTGGCAAGTAGAGTGAGGAGGGTGCAGCTTGAGATAATGAAATGTGTCTGAGATGCTATCATGTGGCATTGCTGTAAGTCATGAAGTACTGGATGCTATGAAGTTGGTTTGAGTGTGACAGAATGACTATCAGGTGCTGTGAGTCTCAGCAATCAAGATATATTTAATACAAATCAGATTCGCAGTTATAGGTTCATCCATTTTTTTAATGCTATTCATGCAGAAGCAGTGGCATTAGTCTTGTGGAGGTTTTCCAACATGTGGGAGGACATCATTGTAGCGTAGGGTGAGGTGTTTAGTACCTGGTGAAGTTAGGAATTCTCATTGAGGAATTTGTGAAAGGATCCAAACATGGGGTGAAAGATGCAGAGAGAAATGCCGAAATGGATTTGCATGCATCTCGACAGGCATGTTGTTAGGGGGTACTTCATATCATTATGGGGTTTGTGCGTTTGCAGGCAGTTGGGAGATTCAAAACCTCAGCTCACCTGGCAACAAGCCCCAAGTCTATGGGGGTGTCACATTGCATGCAGGAGATAGCAATGAGGAACTCCTTCAAAGCATCTGTTGTCATTCAGTGAGCTTCTTTCATGGCAAGTATGGGACAGACTTTGAAGGCCTGCTATGCACTAAGGCCACTATGGTTGGGGGCTCGTTAGCAGTTGGTTGGAGTTCTGCAGATGGCATGACTTGTTACAGGCAGTTCAGACACAGAAATGTACTAAATACTGGGTGAGGCAAAAAATACCTCGCTTTTCTTTAAACATTTGTGGAACGAGGAATGAGTCCCCGAATGAGATCGTGGAAGAGATGGTACGGTGGGGCGTACGTGACATCGTGACCGTACTCGCATGTGGTGCTGGTGAAGACATCCCCGTGATGGAACGAGACGTCGTCCAGAACGACGACACGAGGTTGCTTCGGAATGAGGAGGACGCCCGTCGAAAAGTGGAGAAAGTTTCCGTTCTCGACCGGCCCCTTCTCTGCGGTGCGACGAAGAATTGCCTCGTGGGACACGGCTACGAGCCGAGTGAAGTTCCCTTCCTTCCCGTCACGAACTGGTATCGTCGCTCGCCTCGACTGGAAAATGCGTCTACATGATTTTGGAGATGTTGCATCGGTAACTGGTTTTTTTCCCCTTCGAATCAACAACTCGACTCGTTCCTCTGAGCTCCGACCGACCTCTAACGTTCCTCCCGAACCGCCTCTTAACGGAGAGGTCGTGCGGGAAGATGAATTTCTCGCGGTGAACATCCTTTCGGGGTGAAAATTCCACTACAGAGTCGAACCTAAACGACTCGATTTCGTGTCGTGTCGAGAATGCCGTGGAGGATCTTGGTAAGTCCTTGACGATGGCCAGACGTTGGAATGTTGGACGTGTCGCAAAAAGTTGCCCTGTCCCGAACGATGCGACGTTCTCTCGAACGAGCCTACCCTACTATGGAGGGGAGGAGGAGAGGTGTTCGGTGGCCCTCAGACGTGTGGCATATCCTTGTCACCGGTACGCGCTCCCCAAACCCACGTCCTCGACCGTCCCGATGAAAAACTGCCGTATATCATCCGAAAATATAAATTGCCGACTAGGGTAAAACCACCTAAGTTCGGACACTGTTTTAAACATCGTTTGGGAAGGCCCAATAAAAAAAATATGCCTCTGGGAACGAATCCGAAAATAGCTCTCTTCCCCTCCTGAAAACTGCATCTCGATAGGTACCGATGCATCGAGTTTCAGCATCTATGTCTCTCCGTATCGTTTGGGCAAAAAAAGTATGGGATATGTCTCTCAGATAAAAAATATGCCTGAAATCCGCACCGTCATAGTCATTCGTGTACCAAGGTCGAACTTTCAGTCTCATCTAGAGCATGGTTAGAATTAAAATCAGTCAGTCGCTCACTCACTCGATCACGATCGTCCTATGCTAGAAAATATTAAAAAGATCCAATACTTGGGGAGCGGATTCGTTTACACCAAAATGAAATGTTTCGAGACTTTAAAACTGAAAACTTGAAAACGAGACTGTCCGAACTCAATTTTTGCCGCATCTAAGTTCGGACATCGACATTATAAGCAATATCGGTAGTCATGAGGCTAGGAATGGGAACGTGTTTCTTGCACTTATACCTCCTCGTGTCGTGCTCCCGGGAGCAAAAAATTTTGTTTCTAGCTCGTACCGGTGAGACGAGACGAGCGAATGATGAAACCCGGCCAGCTTAACCGTCCGAACGTTGGTGGTTTCACCTTGAAAATGACATGTGAGTTGCAGAGAATGGCACACGCATCCGATGCCCTTCCGAAACGGTCGTCGTTCCTCGAGACGGCCGGAGTGGGACGATCGATGCACGCGACGAGAGCTGCCGGGAAGAGGACCCGAACGCATCCGCATCCTTCGTCCGCATCCTTCGAACGCACCCTCGTCGATCCCACGTTCGACGGAGCATCGAACGCGATCGGCAGGTGCCAGGGAGAGGGAATCCATCCTCGTGCCGACCTCGAGATGCGGACGGTAGGAGAGATCGGGGATCCTCGCGGTCGGGACGACCGTTTCCCCGAACTTGACGGAACGAGGGTCGGTCGCGATTCCTCGTTCCGATCCGCGTCGGGCCATCTCGTTCGGCCTGACGTCGTCGGGAGGTAACGTACTCGCATCGGCGGCTCCGCGAGCGGTCGTCGACCGGGCCTCGTGCGAATCGCTTCTCGTCCTCGTTCTCTCGTTCGTCGTCTGAGACGAATTGCAGTCGGTCAAACGATCGGCTTCGGCACGTGAACGGTGGTGCGCCAAGGAAACGGAACGGTGACTCACGAACCCGCGAATGTCTCGAGAAGGAATACAAAAGAAGGAACTCACGGGATTCGTCTCTCTCTCGGAGGGATGGGAAGGCCTTCTTGCGACGCGTGGAGTGGTATCACCGAGTGAAGCCTCGAACGCGGCATGGGGAACGTCCACGACCACAACGAAACCGGTCGAATAAAAGGTGGCGTGGAATTCGATGTCACGCCTGAAGGAGGGCTCACAGCCGAACGAAGTCACCCGGGGGAAAGAGAAGAGGGAACGGGACTGTCGCTGCACGCCTCCTTCGAACGGAGAGGCTCGAGCCCGTATGAATCCCTGCCCGGAGGGAGGGAGAAGAAAGTAAAAACCATGCAGTTCATAATTCCCTCCAGAGATGGCGCCAAGAACATGTGGGGGGGTACAGTTCTTTATTTCCTCCAGAGATGGCGCCAGGAACATGAGGGGGGGTACAGTTCGTTATTCCCTCCATACCGCTCCTCCAATGTTTGCTTATGATTTTTCCGTTTAAGTTGAATTTCCATGCAACTTGAACCCGTCAGACTTTCCCCACGCGTTCTTTCGAGTTAACCCCCTCGATGGACATTTGTAGAAGCTCAGGGGGCGTACCTTATAGATCCATTATGACAAAAATATTTTTATTGTGAGTGCTCCAAGCCGTCGGAAAACGATAGTCTTCGCTCTTTCGCTTTCACTGGCAACCTCATTGCCTTGTTCAGTGCGATGCAGGCGAGAGTGAACGTTCTCGTTTTTCGACAGCTCCAGTGGTTTTCTTCCGAGTAATCCTTAACATTCCTTAAGAACTACCGCCATGAAACCGCAGAACAAGCTTCCAGTATAGTGACAGAGGATTTGACAAACGAATGGTTGACCCTTGTTGAATAGAAGTACTGTCAAAATCTTCGTCATTCCTCGTCAAAGTCTCTACAGTCCCCTTGCCAGTCTGAGGCCTACCCATCTCCTCAGGTCAGCAAAGTGATTTTTGTACCATTCTCATGAATTAGTCTTCTTCCTGACTTGACGGTTTCACACTTTGGGACTATCCTCGTATACCATATGCCTTATATTAGATGAGGTTTCGCGTGTTAAGCTCTTGCAGTAGGCTTGAGTGTTTTGTCGCATTGCCTCGGTCTATTCCGGTCTTCATGTCATTCTGCTGTTAACTGAAGTATATTCTACTGCATGTAAGGTCTACGGCTAAGCTAGGTCAGATTTGCATACGTTTCAATCAGTGAGGGGCCGGTACGTATTGGATCAGGGGGGCAGTTGTGGCTCTCTCTGTGTGATTCTTGACAAAGCAACCTGGGAAAACGGAATTTTGCTGGTTTTATGTAAAAATGACCATTAATATGATCTTTGCGAGGAATATTTTAGAATTTTGGGTGGGCCTATGTAATGGGTCATCTTAAGTATTTTGGAAAGCCTGGACTCCCCTACTCTTCCAATCAGTTTCCTGTGTTACATGTGTATTAGAAAAACCTAGTGCACAATGGCATAGGCCCTTAGTGGTTGGCTGTTTCTCCTCTGTGTAAAAATAAATAACGGATACTGTTCCCGGTTTGAATTCGTACCCTGCTATAGGAGCGCTTCCATGATTGCAGGTAGTGACGTCTTGGGTGGGCCTATGTAATGGGTCATCATAAGTATTTTGGAAAGCCTGGACTTCCCTACTCTTCCAATCAGTTTCCTGTGTTACATGTATATTAGAAAAACCTAGTGCACAATGGCAAAGGCCCTTAGTGGTTGGCTGTTTCTCCTCTGTGTAAAAATAAGATAACTTTGTATTCTTGTTGCCAAAGCTGATCCTGAAATGTAGACATAGGCCTCAACTGAACCCTCTCCCCAACTGACTTGACTCCATAATGTGTGCATCTCATGTACTCTTGTTTGAGTCTCTTTATAATATAGCCAGAAATTTAAAGGCTAGGGAATATATATTTTTTGCTGAGCAATTAGCTTTTTGACATAAGACTCCATAATAGTCAGGTCTATATGCCCAGTAACCTAGCATGACTCCTACTTTCAACATTTCTTGGTTTCCAGGTTTTTCATGGGGAATGGAGACTGAATCCATATGGACATATTTTTGTGGTGCAACAACTATGATGCACTTTTATGATGGAAAACCTCCTAAATACCTTTCAGAGAAGCTTAACTCATTCATGAACTTCATTCATTTTGGTGGGTTTCACCTATCCATAATAGCTGGTCCTTTGAATTCA